CATGTACAGCAGAATTACACAGACGTGCCAAACAGAAACACGCGCAAAGAACGCTGAAACACTGTCCAGCACGCCTGCAAAGGCATCTTCGCACTCAGGCACGGAACTCGTCGGAATCCATCCTGCGCTCACTGAAGCCCTTGAAACTTTCGAGGGGTTCCTCGGCATCGGATCACCTCGTCGCTTCAGCTCCAGAGCTTCCTCCAAGCGGAGCGCCTGCGACACGCACCAGGGGCTCGAGCCGCTCATCATCGACTGCTTTGAACAGCTCCAACTTTTCAGACTCTCACAGGTGGATCTTTCTCCTGCATGCCATGGGGCCCGAGGGCAGGACGGATCAAGGGTTCGTGGCTGTGGCAGCACTGCTGAGTTTGAACCGAAGATCTGTCTCGCTTGTGGCCATGTGCGATTTAAACCCGACGTGTTTCCTGATACTATTGTATTGGAAGTTTGGCGTTTGTAAAGCTCTCTCTTACAGTGCAACATCACACCAGCAACTCTGTGAAGGCAGCCTCGGACAAGCGGTGGGCGCGTGCCCGTGCGCCGGGCATTGCAGCTGCCTTCGATGAAAGCCACATCCAAAGAAGAGCTCACTATACTTAGACAGCAAGGTCGACGAAAGCGCACTCCTTTTCTCTACAAGCGATCGCACGCTTGCCCAATGATCTAAATCACCTTGAGGCTAACTCGCATTGATTTGTCGTCCGCGTAGTGGGCATCCGTGCTTTGAGAGGGTTCTCAGTCAAGAGAAAAGCCTCGTGAACTCCCTTGCTTGTGCATCACTGCAGTTGAAACTTTGTGCACCTGCAGGCGTTTGCACCTCGACGAACGATCCATCTTGTACGTGCGTCTTGCGGAAGAGCCAGCAACCCATTCTCAGACCTGCCCACCTTGCTCAAAGCCACATGCCTCTGGTACAGCTGAAGAGAAACCGTGCGTTCTGAGGCCTCCACCCTCCTCCGACTGCTCCAACGGCCGAAACAGTGTCCAATGCACCTTTGGCATGGACCAGACCGTACATGGATCGGCGAGCCTCACAAAGGGTGCCGAATATGCATCTAGATGCATCTATCCATAGCATCTAGCATGGTATAAGGTCAGCCTACTCGGAGCGGAGCAAGCAACGAGGCCCACAAACTGCAAAGTTGACGTTAGCGCAAGACATGTCTGCGACATGCCCTTGCAGGCTGTGCTGACAAGGCTCAAGCCAGCCGGACACCGCCATGCTGAGCAGAGTAAAGGCTGCTGCTTTCGGAGTGTCGGTGGTGGAGAAGGACATGTCCGTGTCTCCTTAAGATCGTGACAGTTCATGCAACCCTGTTCCAGCAAAAACGTCAGCATGAAAAGCAATCTGAACGACGCTGGACAACTCAAACATTAGCAAGGTTTCGGACCCTGACTGCTGCCACACTGTTCCGTGGAATGATCATCATGTTTTGTTCACCGCTATCAGAAAATCGGAGGGCACGGTCACTTAGGTAGAGTTGGAACTTTCCGTCGAAGTCGGAGAGTCAAATTCGAGAGAAAAAGCTGGCTCATGGCGGGACCACCCAGCCAGAAGGCAACAACACAAGGCTTGAGCTGCAAAATATCTGCAAAATGTCTGCCAGATCCCGCAACTCATGCATAAGACCTGGACTCCGTCTTGTGCAGGCGAAGCGGGCCTCCAACCAGCGCACAGCAGCCTCATGGTTGGCTTCGACATCCGAATGCTCAAGAACAGCTTGCAAAAAACATCCGAATCTATGTCGACTATTCTGTAAACTCTTAACACAGCTCGAAACAATTGACATCATCTTGTCAAGGAATGTCACGGGTGGGAACTGTTAAAACGAGACTCCTGTGAGATGCGCACAAAAAGCTTGACATATGTTATCGTCGAAGTGAGTTGAGTCATGGTTACGGGAATCAACGGGCAACCAAATTGGAAGATCCCACGGAAGGTGCAAACACACAAAACTCGTCCTAATCCGCGATCCCGCTTGCTGGGTCGAGCGCCAGTGAAGCCCTTGCTTTCCCCTGCCCCCCCCCCCCCTGTCCCCGCCCCCGCACGCCCGCAAAGGAAATGTTTGTTCTTGCGTTTCAAATCTGTGACCCGGCCAGTTGCTGCGTCCCTATGGGCCCTGCTCCAGCCTCGCCGGATGCCCTGACCCCACCTCCCGCCGCGCCCCGCCTCACGCCTGCGGAGCAAAATGGCCACGTCCAAAAGAGCGCGGCGTGGCCCTTAAATCTGCGCCTGGGGTTGCTGCCGCAGGCCATGGCCCTAGCTTTAGCTATGGAGCGGAAGGCAATGCCGCCGACCCGCCGCAGACCGTGCATCATGGACCCTCGTTTCTCCATCGGGCCGCGCGGGACCTAGTTGGGAGGCTTACCAGGCAACGCGCACGTTTTGCGGCCATTCCCCACGGTATGGCGTGTTTTGAAGCACCCGCGGGCGACACCTGGGCGGCACGCGGCGAGCATCATGAGCACTCGGCACGCGCGCAGCGGCCCATTTGGTGCAGGCAGGCGCAGGCCGAATTTTTCGGGAGGTCGTGAATCAATGAACGAATGAATGAATGAAAGAATGCATGACTGAATGAATTGCCTGCGTTGCCCGACTCGACTCTGGGCGCAGGCCCTAAAATAATCAACTAGATTTGGTTGATTTTTGTTTGGGAATTGTTGGCGGGTCCAGGAGTTTTTTTGGACCCGATTTGTGCACTTGTTCCTACCGTTGGCTGACTTTCAAGCCGCATATCCGTCCTCAAAATTCGTCCGAAAAATGTATTAAATTTGGTTGCTTTTTCGTGGTAATGTGCAAAGCCCAACTGCATGCCGACTGCATGCCGCTGCACCTTCTTGAGCGGCGGCGGACACGGCCATACCGATTGCATGCCGCTGCACCTCCTTCGGGGGCGGTGGACATTAGCGGCATAGCGCACCCCAGCTGCATGCCGCCAGCTTGCGGGCTGCATGCCGCTGCACCCCTTGCGGCAGCAATGGACACAGAGCGCCCGACACTCCGTAATCGTGCTTCGTAGACGGTTAGCCCATAAGACGCTGTTTTTATCATGCGACTTGTACAATGCAGCATGGTTATCAAGACTGCCAAGAAAACCCAATCGCGTTATGCCACAGCTTCTGCATTGCAAGCACCACATCAAGCCAATTCAATGAACGTGATGAGCGAAGTGGTCAAGCGTGCACAACAAATTTTTGCGTACCCTGACAACAGACATGAGCGCAATGAAATAGAACGCTTTGACAAGCTTGCTTTTTTAAGCAGATTATCCAACAGCGGTAACAGGCGACGCACCTCAGGGTTCTACGTGTCATACTGTACCCCTTTGTGGCAAACTTTGGCTTCGACCATTTTCGGCCCTCACTTCTGCCCACCGGAAGCGACACTAGGACCGCAGGAACCCATGAGACACGCCGGCCGTGGAGGCTACCGGCACAATTTTGTTCATTCTGCAATCACCTGCTAACGGTAAAGCCAATTTCCGGTTGCGCATGCGCACACGTACAAAGACTTTTGCATCCATCCCGAACTCGAACACTGTGACTTGTTCAACCATGCACATTGTGCTCGCTGTGGTCGTGATCTTAGTCATCGGGGTCCAAAACAAGAGTCGAAGGTCTAGGTCTCAAAGCTCGATCGTGTGAGATCTTGTTTGCGAACGACTCATTAACAGGCAATGAAAATTTCCTTATGTCAGATATCCGAATGAAAATGGCAGGAAAGCAACAGCCCCGTGAAGTGCGAACGCTCTGCATGGTGGTCGGATGCAGCTGCCGACTCCCAAAGTAATCTCCTTTGGTAGAGTCAGGACGAGTCGACGCGACCGGCGCGTCACGGCCGAAAGGCACCTGGGGTGACGAAAACCCAAAATCCTGTGCCGACCCACAAAGAACGGGAACCTTGCACGGGTCCATGGGTAAGAAAATCACTCATCGAAAATACGGTCTTCCAGGAAGAAATGGATCAGGGTGAAATCTGCAAGCGATGGCTCTACAGGGAGCCTCAGAGACCGGGTGAGAACATTTAAATCTGGGTGAGCCAGTTCATCCGCCCAGGTGTTGCCGCTTCACGTGAAAAAGCCTCAGCAAACAGAGTCTTCTTCCAGCTCAACGGGGTTCCGAAAGCCAGCAGCAGCATTCAGATGGCAGCTGCGAGGAGGCCCGACTTTTCTTTTCGGGGAGAAGCCAGGCAAAGTCAACCACAAATACAACCCCAATCCACTTGCGGAAAGACGGCACAAAAAATCCCGAAGAGGAGGACGGCAATGCGCCCCCAGTCCAGTTGTGCGCTTGCCATGCCATACGACAACCCAATGCTCACTCGCACTCAACACGCCCACCCTTCCCAAACTCTTTATCATCAACAACACAGATGCCGGAAAAGAGGTTGGACATCTGAAGTCCAACCGTGAGGATTCCGGAGCCCGCCTCGCTTGAGAAGATCAATGGGGAGCGACTTGCCAACCCCGGACCTGCCATACAAGCAGGGTGGACATCAAGTCCTTCTCCCTATATGGTGGCGTCAAGGATCTTACAGCGTAAAGTTCCTCAACCGTCAAGTTCTGAAGGCAGGACGGAAGCCAGTTCTCAGAGTTCTCAAGCGGCGAGTTTCTCAAGCCTTTCAAAATCGTATCGGATCCCCATCTACAAAAGTGCTGAATGCGATAGTACTCCAAGCCCTGTCTGGCCCAGGCCTTCCACATCCTCCGCATTCCAGGCCGACTGAAACATTTCGATCATTGCAGCCTTCGTTGGTGCTACACCCACATTCTCAGTGGCTAAGAAAGGTGCATCGTATGCAGCACCACGTATGCCAGCATTTTGTAGATGACCTTATTCACACGATCTGGGCAGAGTCCAACGGCAGAGAGGCGCAGCCCTGCTTTCGGATCACTCCCTGTCCTTTAGGGTCCTTCTTGGCCAACCTCTTCTCCTCAAAAGTGATTCGAGTTCTTGTTCGCAAGGATGCCTCAATCCCGCGGCAAGTACAAAAGAACAGAATCACTGTCTCTTTCGGGAAACGCGGTCACCCGTCCTTGGTAGGGAAGGGTGGAAGTTGAGCCACTTTGTCAAGGCCTTGCACTGCTTGTCCGGCCCCAGTCCTCTCACACAGCTCCTCAGTGCGTCTTTGACAACTAACTGTATTTTATCAGTCCAGGCCCAGTCAAGCTCAGTATGCCTTCGTTTCATGGCCGAGAGATCAGCCGAGCGGTAACCTCCTGCTTTGAGTAAAGCACCTGCGTAGCAGATCTTATTTGCATCAAGAGGATAAGGTGAGATTTGAGCGGTCTCGGCCCTTCTCTTCCACCAAGCTTGTCTCGCTGCAACAGTACCAACGATAGAAGCCGCGAACTTCTGAGTTTCAAACTCCTGCCCTGCTTGACACGGGGATGCTGGGATATTTTCAATAGCTTTCACTGCAGCTTCCGATCCCCTGCTGTACGGTTTAACACGCGGGTCGTCCCACCTGAACACTTAAGGAAGGGTGTGACTGAGGTCGACGGCGGACGCGGATAAGGGAGGACATTCACGTAGAAATGCAGCAGCAGCAGCAGCAGCAGCAGCATCATCATCATCTGCTGCGTGGAACGTGACACCTTCTGGTCGCCTCTCGCTGTCCTCTCTCTCCCCCCTTGTGGGTCGGCGACAGGGCGGGAGTCAAAGGACTCACATCATTGTGTCGAGCATGAAACTCGGCGAATGATTCACGAAAGGGGCCATCGTCGCATTGAGGGCAAAATGTTGAAACGCCCTCGATATTGTGTTCACACAAAGCACAGCTTCTGAACACACATCCACGGCCCATGCCTGCATCCACCAAACTTTGCGTAGCCGACTGCTTGGGAAGGCCATGTTCGAAAGTAGAACTTCTAGAGCGCTGGAAAGTCTTCAGGCCGCTCCAGACAGAACCCTGCCCTGGCCATGCTGCATCCGCATGTGGTCGCTTCATTGAGCCACTCAGCAGGACGGCATAAAACTTCGGCACAGCTGCAGGGATAAAAACATGGCGGGAAAGGCGTGAGGCTTCGCATGGGCCTGCAGCGTGGGAGCGGCTAAAGGAATCAATCCCATATACTCCCACTCTCGTCATCAAGACAATTGCGCGCACCGCGCTAGAAAACTGTTTTTACGACCAGATCAACTGGTGATGACTGGTAACAGTCGCCAAACCACAACGATGCAGCGGGGTATGCCGGGCCGCAACTCAGGCGGCACGACGGAAGGCTCGTTGGGATAACTCAGAATTGAAAGGGTGTCTGCCCACTGGTTTGTTTCAATCCAGATATGAATCAGGTGCCCTGTGTGTTAGAGCAAAGTGCAGAGTAACTTCCCGGACAATCCCGGACAGCTTTCCTGACTTGGACCGTCGGTTGGATGAGCTCTGCAAGGCACCGGCAGCGTCTCCCTGTGCCCGCAAGTGGCCTTCAATCTCGGGCTTAAGCCACCGCCACAGAACAAGGAGTACCATGTAGGCTTCCCACTGCGCCTGAAAGGCAGGATCGCCTATTCGAGCCTGCGTGTGCTTCTCGTCTGTTTTGGTCCAAGCTAAAGCCAAACACTCGACTGGTTTGCCGTTGAGGGGGAGAACTGCACCACCTTCGCAGGGAAAAACGTCGACGGTCAGGCAGGAAGTGCCGTGTTCGGGCCTTTACTTCGTAAGTGAAGCCGTTGTTGAAGCCCTGCACGAGAATCACCACCCACTGTAAGGCATGCTTCAGCTGTGTGGCGTACACTGCTTTCCTGGAGACCTTTAAGGCGGCATAAAGCATGCGAACTCATGGTTGATGCCCGCCGCCCACGACAGTTTGCCAGCGAACTTCTGGATGCCACGTGTGTATGTCCTAGGCTTGGTCAACAATGCGCTGGCCAGCCCCCGCCATTCCTGGATCTTAGCAGCCGGTATGCTCCTGCAAGGTGGCGCCTATGCAAGTGGCCTTTGTTCCAAAGGTGCCCTTTTGCCATGCCAGTTTGAGGCCCAGAACCAACCAAAACCATAAAACTCGTGCAGTTGCACCATCGTCTTTCTGTTGGTGAGCCCTTGATGGTGACCAAGGGATCGTCGGCAAAGAGTTGAAGGCGAAACTCGTTGTCACCCGCCATGCTTTGACAGGCACCTGCTACTGGTGAGGCAACCTTCCCGCACGGGCCCGTCCTCAACACAAACAGTACAATTTTGTAGTAAAACCACTTGCCTGCAGCCCAACCGGCCAGAAAACGACCTTCCTCTGTTACTTGCGCGAAGCTGTTTGAAAGCGTTGCTGAAACCTAGGGTGAGGAACCACATCTACTCAATCTGTTTCTGCTTTCGAAAACTACGAAAAACTGAAAGATTGCAAAGATCAAACGAGTCACTCCCGAAAGATGCCATGGCACTCCACGGAACTGAAATCACGAGCCCCACAAGACTTAACAGCTTTCGTCAGCCCTGCCTCATTCGCAGCCAGCTCCAAGAAGCGGGCCACACTCTGCTGCTTCGCAAATTGTGGCGCAAGAAACTGGTGTGAATTCTGCATGCAGTCGGCGCTCTGCCTCAGTTGGTGAAGCTTCTTTCTCTTTTAGGAGGTCCCGAGCAGCTGAGTTCGACGACAACGGATGCGTCGAGCCTTCTCAACCTTTGCAAGTCGTGGTGCCGACTTTGCCGCGGCCCTTTCCTCCACCTTTCCCTTTCCCGGCTTCCTGCGATGTGGTTGGCGGCGCCACTCGCACGCCCTTCTCACACTTGTCGTTGGAACAGCCGTCCTTGCGGCGAGACCAATCGTAACAAATGTTGATGCCGTTGCGTGACTTCAGATATCTGCCATCCTTGCGTTGCAGATCGTACTTCGCTTTTCTCCTCTCGGCGTCCCGGCTCCTACGCTGGGCGGTGCTTCGTAACTGGCCGGCATTGGTTTGGGACCATTGCACTGGCACCTCAAAACTCCCTGTTCAAACTCGTTTCCCCAGAACTCGGTGCAGGAGTCACTCGTTTTGATCACTGAGTTCCAGGGCTGCTTGGGGTAGTATGTAGCTATGCTAGGATTCCCGTAATTACCAAATATCCGCCAGCGTTCTTCCCAGCCTTGGACAATGGAGCCGCCCGGAAGCTCAGCTGCTTTCCACTGCCCATCCTTCAACATCCGGCTGCATCTGTCACGCCAAGCGGTCGCCGTAGGCACCCCAAACCAAACATCGATGAATGGTGGTTGGCCCAAGTCTAGCTTTGCTTTCAAACAGGACAATTGGGCATCAGTCACTTCTTCCTTTTCCAGCAGTGCATCGCCGGTCACATCGACATATTTCTGTCGACAGGCCATCAATTCGGCCATCGGCAACATCTCACAATCATGATCTGCACCTTGATCGAAGATAGATCGAATCTGATCAAATTCATCGATGCCTGCCATCGGGCAAAGGCAGAGTTCATCAGGCTGACAAGCGCAAGGCGGCTTGTTCCTGGGAACAAAGCCGACGAATCGGGACTTCCTCAACGAAAGTCTCGCTGATTTGTGCATTGGAAACTCCTGCCGAGGGGCAATTTTCGCGTATTTCCCGGTGGAGGAGCCTCTCAGATTTCAAGGGCCAAACGCCTGGAGAGGACAGTGCCGGAGTGTCCGCCCCAAAAGGGACCCCACCTACGGGCAGCATAGGCCCACTTCTCCCATCCGCCCATCCGGGAGCCACAGGAAGGGAATACGAAGCGAGCCCAAGAAATGGGGGAGAAAGCAACGTCTGACTCCTTGAAGGGAAAATTAAAAATTAAAAGTGTGCGTAGCATTTCTCGCCAAGAAAAACCGCGAAGCAACTCACAACGCATTCCGAAGGCCGCTTGTCCAAACTTGAAGAATCGAGGAAGCTACCCGTAGTTCTGTTCCAGCGCAAAATCGACTGCATTATCTCGCGAGTATGTACGAGTCATGTCGCTCACACGCTCTCGTAAAAAGACATCATCAAACAAGCACGAAGAGAAGAGCTATAATGCCGTTGACGCGCATGCGCCTCGTTGGAGTCGCCCGGTTGCTGACCTTGCGCTGGATGCTCTCCTGAAGCCTGCAAACTTCGATGCATCCTGCCCCTCTGTGAGCAGACCGGTGCCGTGGTCTGGTAGTTTGCGGGAATCCGAAACCTCGTCGTCTGGGAGAAGCGCGACGAGCCTCCGGCCTTCAGCAGCTGCATCTCTTTCCTTGCCTGCTCCGTGGTCCGTGGGATCCATGGCTGGGCCTTGGCGCAAAACCCCCCGGTCGTTGAAGAGGGCCAGCACCTGCCAGCAGAAAGGCGATAGGGACGGCAGACTGGCGGCCTCGGCGGCGCACCCCTCGGTGCACGCTCTTTCGACGAGCGTCTGTACCTGGCGAGCGTGCTCCAAATGTGGCAGTCCCTGTAGCACATCTGAGCAACAGCGAGGCGCACTAGGAGGCCTCAATCGAAACGCGAAGTGGCTGTCTCTAGGCAGATCACGCACCTTCCCGACACCAGTGTTCAGACATGATGGATGAGACTTCGATGCCGGAGCATGCTACAATAAATCTCCGCTGCAGCAGCGCAACATAGCGCAACGATTCATCGGGCCTTGATTGCAAAGATGAACTGTTGAGACCTGAAGTCTCCCTGCCTCGGCTTGTCACCCTTCTTTTGGAGGTTGGGGTAGACTAAGGCACGGCAAAGACCCGAGCTCAGGTGCTGCGTCGAATATGGCTTTGGAAGAGCGCAAGGTGCAGAAGACCTTCTTGTCGAGCACCAGATCTACCTGCAGCGTAACTCTAGTCGGAGTCAGAGATTTCGAACTCCAGCCCTTGCTGCTGTGCATTATCTGGGCCTCGATGTCGAGGGGTTCGTCACCAACGAGCTCCTTCTCACTCAAAGATCGAAGGGAAAGCCTCTCCGTCCTCTCTACTCTGCTTCCTCTGCCAAGCGCCGTGGGACCAGGCGCTCGGCACGGCAGCGCCTCGGGCAGCCCACAAAACCCCATGGCCCATGGCATGAGACTTTGGCCATGACTGGGATGCGGGCACGAGTGCGCTGGCGTCGGCGCTCAGGACGAAGCGGCAGAGGCCGGGGAGTGCAGCCCTGACACAGGGACAACAAATGAAAAACAGAGGACATGTTCAGCCCAACCGTCTAAGAGAGCCTTTGGGACATTCTCTGCGCGCGGCCTTGGCAAGCTGCAATCAACTGGTACTTCAGTGTCAAGAGAGCTCCAAGAATCTGAAGAGCCGGCATGGCGCCACAGCCAAGTTGACATCGACACTCGACTATGCTCAGCACGCGGCTTGGGCACCGCAAGTCGCAAAAGGTGCAACATCTTCTCAATGGAGTCTGCTGAACATCAAGTGTATCACAGCTCTCGATGGTCTAGATGGTAAGGTTTCAAGATCAGCCGAGACCGTAGACATGTCCTGTGCTGCTAAACAGTGCGCGCAGTGAGCGCGTCTACCCATATCTGAAGCTTCCGAAGGTAGCGTCATAGGTGTTTGGGCAGCTGGGCTCGCAGCGAGAAACTTGTTGCCACTCTTTGAAAAATCTGTCTGAAGCTGCATTGCATCGGAGATACCACATGTCAGACGGGCAACTTGAAACCTGTGCACTCTACACTTACAGACAAGCCCGAGGCACACAGTAAAGCACAACTGGGGAAGGGGGGCATCCTCATCTCTTGTAGCTGCTGCCGCTGCCAACCGAGGCAGGCGGTAGAAGCCCTGCACAGCAAACACGAGAGGTGTTCAGCCACACAACCGAGACAAGACCGCACCTGCTCTTCGGCGGCAGCGCTGAACTCGTATGGTGCCCCAGCAAGAACCTATCTTATGTGAATGTGCCCATGGTGGCCCACTCCGATAATTTCAGGGATGGCCAGGACCCACTGAGGCGGCCACATCGAGTACATCAGCACGGATGGTGGGGCAATCCTGTGGCGAACTGGCATCCAAATATCATGGAAAAAACCGAGCTGTGCAAATTCGAAGCCAGTGGCCAGCGCACGGTCGATCAGCTGTGGGTAGCTCGGGCCTGCCTCTGTATAGCGGTTGTTTCTCACTTTCAACGGTGCCCCCCCACGGACTGTGGCCGACTTTTGCCTCCCGCTCCCTCTCCACCGTTGCCAGACCTTGCAGCAAAAGCGCGGCCTGCAACGCAAGCTCTCTCTGTCGTGTCAAGGCGTCCGACTCGTGATCGTCGCATTGGCGTCCTGAACATGCTCTGCAGTCCTTGCTTCCGGCGTTATGCGCGGAAGAGCTGCTTGGGCCTTGCCTCGCCTCGTCTGGCTTCGCCATTCCGCGTGTAAGTGACAGCCAGCATGGCCTCAGCAGGACGGCGAGTGAAAAGAGAGAGAGAGAGGGAGGGACAGAGAGAGAGCTTCCGCTCGCTCGCAAAAGCGATGCACTGATTGGACTCTCTCTGGGCTGCCTGCCGCAAACAGGCGAAAGCCAACATCGCGACGCCCGCCACGAGCCCAAACCTGGCACGATGCTTTGGGCAACGCCGTCATCATGGCGCTTCTTCTGCATCTTCCTGCTTTGAATTCCGGATAGGTCTGCTTGGCAAGTCTCATGACGTCGGCGATCGGACAGTCCCTGAGTAGAGGCACCGGAAAAAAGCTCAGTAGCACACCTCTGTCCCGAAGTCGTTCGTCGAATCTTTTCCTCTCGGGACAGCTGAGTGCTATGTATTCACGAGGAGCGAAATATGAGCTCTTCGTCAATGTATCTCAACAGAAGTCTGATGTGGTTTCTCGCACTGGACTCGAAACCCGTTTGTTGTGTTGCCCGCAACCACCCCGTTCAGCATGTCTCGTACGATTTGCTTCACCACGTAAGGCTGCGATCCGCGCCCGAGCGCGAGTCGAGCTCGTGCAGGTTTGACGAATCACGAACGTCCTACACACGCTCTATGCGTTGCATGCTTCCGTGACCCAAAATGCCGCTGGCACCTGCAATAGCTGCGCATGAGCAGTTTCCAACAGTGTCAAGATCACGACGTATGCACGAAAAGTCTGCCAAACTATGCAGCAAAACCCTACGTAGACTCTAGGAGCGTCTGTATCGTGACCCTAATGCCACAGCTGGACCCAGCTGCGGCATGTATAGACTGCGTCTTGCCTGGAGGGCGGAGAGTGGGTTGGCGGCAGCTGGCACTCATGCTGCGGAGTTCACGGAAGCCTTAAGCCTTGATCCAGATTTTGCAGGCTGTGCAGGGTGCCTCCAAGCCTTGTAAGACCTGAATTATGTGGTGACTCTTGTCTCGTGCTCCGGCCTGTGGATCCCGCAGTTCGAGCGAAGCGTCGAACGAAACACCTCCGATGCGAGACCCGAGAAACCTCGAGGGTTGGTCGATGTGCCTCTCCAGTGTGCAAGACCACGGGTGATGGCGCGTAACGAAACAAGTCATCGGTAACAAACTGGGCATCAGCGAACCCTGAAACTTAAATGTGGAGGGGGATGTAGCAAACCATGATTTCGTTCATCCGAAAGGGGTTGGAGTCGGTGGAATGGGTCCCCGTAGGCGGGGGACAAGCTGTCGAAGTCTTGTTGTAATGGCGAAAGGTCTTCCACACTCCAAGCTGCCTCAACCTGAGCTTTCGCGGTCAGAGTTGACAGCATCAGCCGTCTTCGACTCTTCGACCAGAGAGGGCCGAAAGATTTGAACAATTGCAGCCATCAGAGTCGTGTTCGCACGAAAATGAAACTCTTTGCACGATAGCCATGGCATTACAAAGACACCCGAACACAGTCTCCTGTGGTGGGAAGTCAGGGTCAGCCCTCGCTGCAGCCGGAAGCCGAGATCCTGAACAGTTACGCAAAAGCTTCGCTTGCATGTTCAAAAAGCTAAGAACTCATGAGAATCATTCAGAATGACTCCACTTCGGTTTTTGCGGGCCTTTCTGTGACACCGGCTGAGGCGTGGCCTCGAATGTGCCAGAAATGAAGGCTCTGCAGGCACAGTGCCTCGAAAGCACTCAAGCCTGGGCCTCATGGAACCAACTGACTCGGCAAGCTGCAAAGAGGATGCAGGGAGGTGGGTCTGATGCCGAAAGTCTCGTCGCGCTACCCACGGCATGCTTTTTTGGTTCAAAAATATGGCAAGGATGCTGTTACAGTTACAGCTAAGAAGTTCGTTGGCATAGTCGTTGGAGGTGGGAAATGGCGGAGGCAAAGCCTTCCAGCGCACAAAGGCGATGAACTCATCGAGGATCGAGGATGCTATAGTCTTCCACGAGGTCTATTTCAGTGGACTGGGGAGGTGTTAAACAGAATAAGGGACTTCGTAAAAAAAATAATCCCAATGAACATCCCCAACAGCGGAATGGCTGTCGTTGGCTCACGCTATAGAGAACCAGAAAAGCTGACAAAGCTGTAGATGGGTTGTCCATGCCCGGCATTGAACACCAGATTTGCTGAACCGGGGCCGAATGTGTTCAGCAGGCCTCGGAAAATGCATTTCGGTTTGCGCCAAGCTCCGGCAGTCAACTTGAGCAGTTTCATGGGTGGTTGCTGAATCAGGATAAATGACAACATGCTCGGGAGTGGGGATGCTTAGCAGGCCTTGGAAAATGCATTTCGGGAACTAGATTTGAGCAGTTTATGACTGGCTGCATTTTCGGGCGTAGGGACGATATTCAACACCAGATGTTTGGAGACTAGGGCCAAATGTGTTTGGCAGGCCTTGGAAACTACATTTGGGCTTGCTCGGGGGCTTCGGGAGCTCCATTTGAGCCTCGGGAGTGGGGCCAGGGACACCTGCAAAGCTGAAAGTCTGAAAGAGCTCTAAAAGCGTTGGCCGGTATGGTTGGAGCCCTAGAAACTAAAGCATTTTCGGGTGTAGGGACTGCATTGAACACCAGATTTGTTGAGACCAGGGCCGAATGCGTTTAGCAACTCGCCCAGCGCCCCGAAACCCCCGAAGCCGCCCCACGACCCGGCCGCCGGAACCCGCCCAAACGTATCTCAGCCCCGGAATCCCGGAACCTGCCCAGGAAGCACCATCCCGAAACCCGCACCGAAACCTTACCCCAAACCTTACGACCCCAAAGCTCTCGCCGTTGAGGGAAACGACCCGATCTGATCACCATACGAACAGGAGACGGTAAGAGGCTGATGAAACCTGTGTGTAGACCTGTGTGTGTGTGTGGAAAACTTAAGGAATTGAATACAAAAACAAGACCACTCGGCAAAGAGGAAGGCAGAACGCAAGGATGTTAAAACAGCCGACTGGCTCATGGAAAGATTAAGCGGCCGTTGCTTAAAATGCGGGATCGGGCTTCACCTGCAAACAATGAGGGTGAATATACATACCAACCTGATATGTCTTTGATCATATCTAGTTCAACATGTATGTCCGACAGCTTAGCACCAGCAATCCCTCACCAACACTGTACAAAACTTACACACTAAACTAGTCAATACAGTAGATGGCATGTATTTCCACAGCTGGCCATATGTCTTCTTTTTCCAACAGACCACCTATCAAATCAGACACTACATACACTCACAAACAAAAGCAATACCTACAGCAACAAACTCAACAATAAAGAAATCAGAGAGCCTGAGCCCAGCACCTTGGGATATTGTGAGATCGCTAAGATGGAGATACATATGTAGTGAGAAGGGTTGAAGCTAGAAGGTTGCGACAGCTTATATTTGCCAATGTGTGTGCAGACATAGCTTATGGCAGTCTTTCAGGTTTTTCAGGACAAGAGATTTAGAAATGCTTGCGGTGGGAGTTTCAAAACTGAGGCTTTTTACTAAGGACCTGTCAAAACCTTAAGGTGGGTCAGGGATAAAACGGAGAAGGGTTTTGAGTTGGGCCTGGAGCTACCTACGGCCATCCCTAACTTGTCCGAGGGGTTTAAAGCAACAAGAAATGCTACACACTTTTGAACGATGCTGCTGGAATTGTATGGCCCTATTTCTCACAGATGATCTCATGAGTCGACTCCCGAATTGACTCTTAGACTCGATGGACCCAGACCGGAACCACGGGTTGCAGGCGACATCGGCTAAGCGACGCCTGCCACATGTGTCCGCTATGCTGTGGCGAGGGACATCCAAAAGCCCTTGTCACAAATGAAGATC